TAGTTTCAAAAATCCACTCAAAAACGAGCCCGAGCCTCCGCGACGTCGTTATACAGATGGTTAAATTAATTAAAATGCTGGTCTTTGACTGGGTGGGTTTCGCGTACCGCGAGCAAATAAAGCGACACGAGCGCTATTACTTTCCCGTGGCAACTCAGACGTTATCGTTATAAATGAAAAAGCGACAGCGATCGCGAGAAGGGTAGGACGAGGGGGCGTAGGGTGGATCGTGTAAGGCGGGGTTTCTTCGTTTTTTCGACCGCGGATGCTCTTTTAGCATCGGTTTTCAAAATGTCCAGCAGCGCGATTCGGTTTCGTTAAATTTATGTTTAATTAAGCCCGGCAAGGACGAGCCAACCGTAACGCGGCGTGACGTTTCGTTGGATTACGCGTTGATGAAGCCGCGTTGAGAGAAAAACCGCAACACTGTGCACGCGGTCGGGGCAACAAGAACAACCGTGTCTCCTGCATCGCTGTGCGCGCGGCTCGAGCATTTCTTTATAAAACTCCTGTAATATAAAGCAATGTTCCGTTGCGGGACAATGGAACACAGCGGTGTCGTGCAAAATTCTTCGTACACTGCTCCCTTGGTCCAACGAACGAACGCACCCGGAAAATTGTTCCCCTTTTATTTGAAACAGAAATAGGACGAGTGGAAAGGACGATCGCCGCCAATGTGTTACACGAATGTGACCTGAAACTTGGACCACCTTGCGTGCAATTGACTAATTGAACGGCCGAGAAAAAACGAGAAATTTTTTGAGGATTATTCTATCATTATTTCTGCAACCTCTTATTTCTAGATCGAATTCGTACGACACAAAATAGTTCTATTCGACCAGCTGACGTGGAAATAAAATAATTGTTTTAAACGTATAATAAACATGTATTGCTCGATAAAATTAACGCGTATATTCTCTTGTTGCGCGTCCCTTACTTTTGTTTTTCTAAATCGATTATCGGAAAATTCATTTATCGGGAATGTTTCGTCTCTCTATTGTACCCAATAATTAACGTTCTACGGTATTCGCGTATATTCGATCAGAATTAGAATCCCCTAAAAGAGGAAAGTGAAATTAAGTTTGAAAAGTAAGTCGACAAAAGGAAGCCAAACCAGAAGTAGGTTCCTCTGGAAACTTTGCTGTGTTAGTTTGTATCGAGTTCTTAATCGGTCACGTTATTAACTAGCCATTTAAGTATAAGTATATTGCACAAACTAGACTTTCAGGGATCCTAATTTATGCTTGTATAATGGAAGAAGGATCCTACTTTTTCTTGTCACTCGTCAACTAAACATTGTCTGACGAGTATTTATAGCATAAAAGCTACAGAGTTTGTACGCTTCTTATTTTGTAACGAGTAACGAAGTCATGTCATAACGTAGTATCGTGTGGTTTTTCTCGTGAAGAATATTAGCTTCTCGGCTGCTTTCTTAATTTTCTGATCGCTGAGCAGGTTGTTTCGTTCACGGCGGTATACACCGGAAAATGGAGTTTCACTTTTTCGTAAACTTTGACGTATTAACGCAACGTTAGAAAGTTTTAAGTTGTATAAACTGTCCGCGACGCGACAAAGAACCCCGTAGCTAACTTTTTTAATGCACTTATATAAAAATGTCCGCACGACGTCGACGACTCGTATAAACGTAACGAATGAATGTTTTTGTATTACGTCCGCAACCGCAAACCCACCTTCTAAATTATTCGATCACGTATTTTGGGAACAGTTATCGAAATAATAAATTATTCTATTGTTCTTTTAAATTATTCCAGTACGTATTTTGAAAACATTTATCGAAATAATAAGTTATTCCATACGGTTAGATAGAAATCATCGATGCATCGATTCGAACGAGCAACAAATTTTTTGTCTGGTTTTAGTATTTGAATAAACGCTTTCAAAATAATTTCGCGGATAATGATTCTGACGCTCTGATTCTGACTGCGTATAACAGGTTTCCTGATGCACGAGAAATGGCATACATTAAACTGTTGACGTAGAAATCCGGATTTGGTCTATCTCCTTCCCAAATAGTTTGCACTTCATACTGCCAATGCCAGTTACAGTGTGTCAGTCAGTTATAATACAGCAATTAGTGTACCGTTACGTATTTGGGTATACGCATTAATGAAACGGACAACTGGAAATATCTCGCGATTATTAAAACGTGGCATTCTTTAATATACGACTGTACTGATTTCCACGGAAAGTAAAAATAGTTCTGTGAGTAAAAGTAAAAGCTCGAGGATGAAAGATTTCGCTGAAATTAAGTACAGAGACTCGGACTACAACAGTAAACAGTAAATTTATAGTTGATGGATCACCATTTTTATCAGCAACAGGATTTTTACGACACCTTGTACTTTTTAAAATCTATTTATTTCTTCTTCTTAATTTTATATAATATTAACACGATTCGTTTACGCTTCGTAGAAGGCTTCGAGAACTTTTTCAAAGATAACTCAACGAACTGTCAGCGACATAAAGTCAAACCACTACGCCGTCAAAATTACCCTCGCCAATATCATCTCGTCTTTCGTTCATACCGGGTCCCACGTGTCCGGAATGCATCATTCGCGGAACACTCAACGTTTCAGAGCTCAAGTATCCTATTCGTCGAATGGCCCCCATTTGAAAGGCTCTAGAAATTGTCAAATGACTCGCGACGCGTTGAATCCCGATTTCCGGTCACATTGTTTCAGAATTTTTCATTTTGAGCAGTTTACGTCGCAAGCGGAACGGAAAAGTAAAAGGTCGTGTCACAAGGCGATCGGAACGCAAGGGAAGAAAAGGGTTGATGTTTTCTCGTGAGAGACGATCGTGTAAGCATACTCGTTGAAAGATACGGTGAATTAACCTCGACTTTTATACTTAAAAATTTTTTTTTCGTGTTTCGTTAATACTGTGTCTTATTACTTTGTTGCAGAGTGTAAATGTTTCACTTATGTTTCAGTTTGAAAGGTGTATGTATGGAATTATCGATGTTTCGGTATTCTCATTGTGCTAGGAATTAGGGCCTTAGAAGTTCCTGTATTGTTATGAAATTTCTGTGCTTCTGACGACCACATGTACTTCCAGCGTCTTATTGGCTTGTCCTCAATAGCGGTTGACGTGTCATAAATCCACGGTTCGATGCTCGTAGTTAATGGTCTTGCGAAATGTACAAACCCGGGACTAACTTCTTGCGCCCCTCCATATCGCGATCCGATTTCCCAAGCGAACACAGCCCCTCGAGCAAATTTAATCCATCGAATACCAATATTATATTTTCAAAAATTGATATTTCCGAGCGTTGATTCGTTAGGAAAAATGTTTCACAAACAGGATACTGTTATTCTAAAATATCTATATAACAATATCGAGACTGTTAAACAACACACAATATAAAACAAGAAACAACAGGGCTGGAAGTATTTACGAATATACGAAGATCTAATCAAAATCTGGAAACATTCTAAACTAGAAAAATCGAGGATCCGAATTTTGTCACGGGCAAAATTATAAAGTGTCAAAGTGAGAATTGAGAAACGTTAGGATATTAAAGTTACTCACTGCGTACGTAGAAATCGCCTTGGCAAAACTTGTACTTTTGCATTTTCACAGAACCTTCAAAACTTTAAAAACTCCAGAAACCTTTAAGAATTGCACGAATGATCGAACTGTCAAACCATTTGAATTGTACGGATATTGCATATGTCCACACTCATCAATCTTTCCTTTAATTTCTTTTTAAATTTAGAAAAACTGTGCCTCTAATTTTTTTTCTTAATTAATTATCTCGTAAAATCGTGCTCCTAAACTTCTTAAAAAGATACATTCGCGTTGACATATTTTTAACTGGTAATAAAGGAAAAAAGGTTCTTGAAATAGACACAAGTTTAGGACTCTGATGAATATAGTTGTCGCGAAATTTGTCTTATTCCATAAATATCTAGACGTCTTCCAGATTGTCCAAGAACGACCCTGAATTCGCGACTATCCAAGAGACGACGATCGAACTTGTCTATCGGACGATGAAATTCAAACTGTAACGAGACGAAACAGTGAAAGTCTTGTCGTGCGACGAGCCGGGGGACACGAAATTCACCAGTTGTGTACGGGAAATTTCCGGACGTGCTTCGCAAACCTCGTAAACTCGAGCAACCGTTACAGCTCCGTAGCAAATCCAAATTTTACGCTCGATAAACGCCGATCGTCATTCACGTGCATCCAGCGATACCTGTGTCGCTGTTGGGTGGCTGGGTGGCGAGCGTAGGCGAGGGAGAGGCGAAGAGTTCAAAGGACCAACGGGCACAAAAGGATCGAGCAGGAAACGGAACGGTCCGATCGCATCCCCCCGATGTTCGAGGCTGGTCGTTGATGTTGCAATTGGGACGCATCGATCGGACGATTTTAATTGGTAGCTCGTTTAAAATCACCGAGGGGGGAATAGGAGTGGGGCGGAGGGGGGAGAGAGTACACAATGGAGATTAATTCCTTTCCGCGAGAAGGTAAACAGATAGCCATTTACCAGAAGGGGTGTTACCTACGATTCGGGCGCTGAAACGTTCGTTATTTTCATTTTAATCGACTCGAAGAGCGAAATAGCGTCGTCGTTGAACGCGGCTCGAGCTCCCGTAAAATAACACGCCGCCCAAGAGAACGTGGGGAGGGAGGGGGAGAAGGGGGTACTTTAATTCGACTCTTTAATGCCCACCATTCGCGGGCAGAGTCTTTTAATAAAGTGCAAATCTTGCGTCATTGAGCGCCCGTAACGTTCTCCTTTACGGTTTACAGGGATATCTCGAAAGACCGGAATCTCTATTATACCCCGCCCGCGGAGTATCCTTATTGCACGACTGCAATTGTCTCCCGTCGGGTTATCGTCTGCCGCTTCTCATTCCGTAATCGTTCCCATCCGGGGCTTTGTTTAAGTAAACACGTATACCCGCGTTTCTTTTCCCCGGTACGGGGAAGTACGTAAAACGGGGTAGAAACGCTTTAAAGTCGACGCGTCTTACCTTTTCCATCGCCGAGTTCCTTCGCCCGTTGTACGGCGAAAATCACGGGCGATGCGTATACGAGCCACCAAACCGCCAGCAGCAACATCGTCATCACTTCCACGGTGTTCACTGTATTTTCCAATTCCTCTTTCGGAAGTTCGTTCCCTATTTTCTTCCCGGGTTCCGGCTTTTTCCGTCACACAACCGAGCCGCTTCAAACGACACTGTAAACGCAACTGACTCGAATTCCCGACTACGACGAAACCGACTACGGTTCGGTTCGATCGTCGATCCGGGGAGAAAGAAGGACAGTCACGCGTTAAACGAAGATGTTTTGTTGACGAGTCGGCTGACGGTCGAACGAAAGCAATGAAAAACAGACGGTGAACGTCGACGAACTGAATTTTCAGCGAAGTGATTTGGTAATTAACTGACAACGATTTCTCCGCGATTATAGCGTCGATCAATTACCCGTGAAGGAGTCTTTCGTGCTTTTTTCAACGGGTGGAATGCGTGAAACTGTTCGACGCGTTCGCCTAGCGTGGAAATCTACGCCGGAGCTCGAAGATCTCTCGGAGATCACTGGGCGTCGTATCGATCCGGGAACGCAATTAGTCGCGTAAATCCAGCAGAAACGGTGTTGCGTCAAAGGAACGTGACTTTGAAGCGACGGTCACGAGGTCGACGAATGATCACTGAACGCTACACAGTCTCGCGGGGGCACGCGAGGACGCTCCAGGTGGACGTGGACAGCCGTCGCGCCACTTTCTCGTCAATCGAGTCCTCTCGATCTCATAACGAGTGATCACGCTCCGTGAAAACTCGAGAGTCCTCGAACGATCGGTGATTTTTCTTATAAAAAAAAAAAAGAAATTCCTTCGACGAAACGGTTTGCAAATATTTTCTCGGTGATTTCCCTCGGATGGCTATGAACGTTCACATGTGTTCGCGTATCCAGCACCGTCGCGGAGGACACGAGGCGGTCGTGCGAGGGTAGCGCGTGCAGTTCTGCCTGGACCGAAACTGAGCAACGAACACGCGGCCCACGATCGCGAATGCCCGGCGCGCGAGCCGAGACTGCGCCCTCCAACGTTTCCCCATAATACACGCACGCCCCTGTTCCCCTTCAACACCACCGAACCCGACCCCCTCTCGCTTCCTTTGTCCCCCGACCTCGCGGGTGTTCGCAGTCACGGCCTCACCCTCGCTCACCTCTCTTTTTCTTCCCATCGCTCACCTCCGCGATCGAGACCGCCGCCCGTCTTACCTCGCCGCAACACCCTTCTCGTCCGTCCCTCGTTACCCTCCTGCCCTCGACAATTTCAGATTTCTGCGGCTTGACCGAAATACAAGCCGGCCACCATCGGTCCAACCTCGTTCCTCGCCTAAGGGGGATGGAATTCGCGCGTCCCCTCGAACGGAACGGGAAGAACCGCTGGAATTGTATCAATCACCGTTTTTCTGCGCGATTATAAGAAACCATCTGCGATCTTGGCGCGCGACCTACGATGACAAATTTTCTTTCGCTCTGCCCCGTTATACGGTGATCGTTAACGGTCGCTGGCTCGGGTCCGCGGCGCGAACGTTACAGAGGAAGGTACTAGAAAATTGCTAACTCTTATCCGGTGGTAGGTTTCGTCGCGTTGCAGAATAGAGCGAAGAATATGGAGAACGCGTGAAATGGAGAGCAATGTTCAACTTTGTAAAATCGTTTGAAATGTTTTCTCTAAATCGTGTTTTTAATATTAAATTGTAACATATGTTATCCGAGTTGCAGGTATAAAATTTAAAATGGTGGATGGAATATTAAGAGCCAATTAAATTCGCTTCGAACTTGCTACTCGAAGGTCTCTGGAGTTGCTAATCACGACTATGGAATTAAAAATACCAAAATGACGAATATTGCATGGAGGATGTTGGGGTTGTTCCCCCTAAAACAAGAACATTCAAATTACGAGAATGAAACTTGGATACTATTTGCGTATTTTGTTTAGAAAGCAACGAAGAAGACTGGATTCAGTGCTGTAGCTGTAAAAAAATGGGAACACAAAGCTTGTGAAGATAACTATGTTTACGATCGCTGTAAATTACATTGAAATTTTGCTTTATATTGATTTCTGATATTGTTAAATTATAAATAAAACAATACAGAAGGCATAAAATATTATATTTTTTTAATGATTTCAAAGAAACCTTGCCGGTACTACTCCCCTACAAATTGCATGATTTTTGTATGGTAGTTGACTACTGTGTCTTTACATCAATTACGTTGTTCTGGAACTTGTACAGTGTGTTTCGAGAACACATTATTTACAAAAGTTGTAGAAAAGTTGTCTAAGAATGTACATAAAATGGTATAAATGGTATTCTTGCAAGTGGAGATATAGAGGTCAACTTTGTTTTTTCTTTTAAAGGGAATGTCCCATTTCTTATGCTGGATTTCAACAGAGTATAAAAGTACCAAAGTGCTATCTTCTTTAACACATTAGGATCGATCATCACAGGATCGTCGAATTTATTAGTCACTCGGTTTGATGAGACTATGTGATAAAATCAGAGAGGTTTTAAAACCAGGTGACATTTTATTTTGCAGCAACGTTTCCGGTGATCGAATGTTAAAACCTCTGTTGATTCATCGAACATTAAAGCCGCGTTCTATGAAAGAGACTTTAAAAATCTTTCAGTTCATTGGATGCAAACGGAAAGGCGTGGATGACGACAGCAATATTTAGGAAATGTTTTAACGAGTGTTTTGGTTCTGCGGAAGATACGGGAAGGAAAAGGGTGCTGAATTCGAAGAAATTGATTGTCGTCAATGCGTACGATCATCCTGATTTGAAACAGTTAAATGTTCTGTTATTTTTATCATTATTTTTATCGATTTAACGTCGTTGAATCGATCTGGGTATATAAAATATGACCAAGCAGTAATATTACAAGCAAGAGTATAAAAAAATCAGACAAAAATCCTAAAACAGCTAATAACCAATCTCTTGATCAAAGAAGAATCAACAAAGTAGGGACTTCTAGAAACTAGTTCACCTAATCTCGTTCGAGTTGATATCGAACGAAAGTCTCTGTCGGATTCAAGTTTATCTGATGTTCTAGATATTTCTAGCGATGACAGTGATTTTTTCTAGTAAACAATTTTTCTATCACGTATGCTCTAAATTAATAGTTACTAAAATATTATTGAAAGAAATTACTTTATCGACAGGTTGTATTTACAAACACAGCTCTTGTTATGCGTTAAAAGTTATCAAGAAGAAATACTTATTAAGCTCGGTTAAAGTGAAAACTGTACGAAGATGTTAGTTTTATGCGATGCTCAGTAATAATAAAAAATACGATCTCATAATCGTTTTGTTGGGTGTATGATGAAAATGCTGCTACAACATTATATGCGGTTAAGTATCCTGATTGAAATCAGCCATTGCATTCTACTTTTTTAAAGCTTAATAAAACGCTCCGAGAAACTCGCAGCTTTAATACGCAAAAACGCGAACGCAATAAATTTGCAAATGATGAAACGTTAGAGGCAAGCTAATATGGACGGTGAAATTTTTTTTATTAATAATCAGTATTTACTTATCGTTAGCATAAAATAAATTAAAGAACTTATGCATCTATTTGAATTAACAAAGAAAAGGCATTCAACTATATAAAACAAACTTTAGAATTCACGTATAATAACTATAGTCGGTAATTCAAAATTAATATTTTTCGAAATGGCTTTTACCGATAATTTCCATTGAAATAAAAATTAGTTTTTGCTCAACGATTTTTTTGTTTTAAATTTGATAGTAACTGTTATTTTGGGCGCCTAGTTTCAATTCACAGTGTCCTATATTTTAAACCCCATTTAAAAAACTAATTCACATTCGTTTCGTATTATTGCCTGCGCAATGTATTGGAGACTGAAAATTGATTAATGCCAAAATTGTTCTCCATCTATTTCCAAATTAATAACGAGAACAAAAGATAACGAAAGTGATCATTAACGTAGTTATTAAAAATGTTGCGTTTAATTGTTTGCATTCAGCTTTGCAGATGATCTGTACAATTCGACGCGGTTCGAATTTTCCCAAGTTACGGTCTGCCGGGTCAATTGACGCACCGCTGCGGTCACTTCCGATGCCTTTTGTTCCGACGATTGATAACACTTTGGCAATAAACGGACAGCATTTCGGACAATTATTGATGCAATGTTCCGTCTCTAAAACGTTGGACCCGATGTTGTTCGGTTTGCCTTTAATTTTCGACCGCAATATATTTTTAATTATAATCCTTCGACCGTGTAGAATCGGGAAAAATGTTCGACCTAAAGGTTTCAGAAGTAGATTTTTCCAATTGTGTAATATTCTTTGAACACGTAAACTGGTATAAAAATCATAATGAGATCAGATGGAACTTTTTCCTACAGCTCAATCAATCGACTGCACAAAAAATTGATAGAATATTGCCCCTGTTAACTATCCGTAAAGAAAAACAGATCCAATCGGGTTACCGCCAATTATTCCTACCGATGCGTTTACACTGAATTCTTTATTGGCGATTCGAACGAAGAATAACGCACAGATTTCCTTTTGTCCAAATTGACTGTTCCATTTCCGATTCGCTGATTAAAGACGTGACAATTTTGAAACAACTTAATCGCAAATACCAGTTATTTTCGATCATTTTCTTCTTCGATTTATTTTTTTGCAGACAGAAAAACGAATTACTTTCTCTTCCTGGTTGATCCCTGAACGGATACGATCCTCCGTCTCGAATATAGAATCTACGAAAAAAGCTCGCAGTTCCATAATTGGAATATCGGATTCCGAAAGATTGAAGTGTTTAAAAGAAATAATCACGAGCCACGGGCCGACCCCGAGCAGGAAGAGGTGAAATTCTCCGCTGATTATTCTCCGGAGAAGAATCCGAATAAGTCCGTTTCGAGGCTCTTTTCTTCGTTCCTCGCAGTTGGGATATTGGATTTCGAGTTACTGAAATGTCCGAGAAAATTAGTCTTGTTGGCAGGCCCCTGTGACCCCATAATTTCGTCCGTCGATATTCCGTTGGTATACATCGATTTTTGACAAATCCCCGCCGGTTAATTCGCCGCTTAAATCATGCTCGATTTCATTCTTGTTCCCCTTTCCACGGTCCTACGGCGGTCGAAGTTTCTTGGAAGTGACCGAGATATAACTTCACCGCTGGTGGATTTATATCGTACAGCAGTGAACGTACATCAGAAAACACACAAACGCAAAGTCACT